GCAGGGGGGGCCTGCATGCCTGAATGCAGGATCCTGTGCTGCACATTTTTACAGGCGGTTGCGTTTGGATGAAGCTGTAAAATTGATCCCCAAACGCTACGTATATGTGCTTTGCATGTGTTTTCGCGAATTATAGACACATCATCTTTCTGTTTGACTTATTTGGTTCTCATTTAATGTAATTATTTTAGATATTTGGAAAGTGGTTTTACATCTATGTCAAGTTTCTGTTTTTGAAGAGTATATATACAACAATGTTCAATATATCAAGTTTCAAAAAGTTCTCTCACCCCACACTAAGTCATATTTAATGACGATTGTACGATAAATGCTGTACCCAACTTCCCTAAACAGTTTTGTACCTTTGTATATATATATGTAATCCAACTGTTCGGAGTACAGTTAAACATTATATATATCGAGCTATATTCGTACCGAAAACTTATATATATCGACCTATATTCGTACCGAAAAATTATATGTATAATTTTTCGGTACGAATATAGCTCCAGATACTTTTGTCATGCAGTGAGGAAACATGCATGTTTGACACAGACAGTTATTATATTTGTGAACAGTTATCCTTATACAACTATTGATATGTAAAGGGACCTTGAAAAGTAATGATACCAATGACATAGAGCTCACATTTACTGTCATTACATACACACCTACATACGCGCACATACATACATACATACATACATACATACATACATACATACATACATACATGAGGCCCAAGTATCGCAACAGCAGTATGATTTGGTTTCTTAGATAGTTACTCGTCTTTTCATCAGAATTTTAACAAACATTTAAGTATGTTGTAATTTCATTACAGTGCCTGTTGTTTGTTGGAATTACTTTAATCCTCTTAGGAGGAGGTTATGCTTTCAGGGGATTATTGTCCGTCTCAAATTAGTGATAAAAAATGAAAAACGTATTATCCACGAAGAATATACTTATGTCTTCGTTGGACATACTTTTATCTACGGAGAAGATACGTTTATCTAATGTATTTGCTACATTCTAATTCGTATATCTACAGGTTTGTGTTTCTATTTTATCTTTTAAAATATCTAACTTTGTTCATTTGTTACATTTTGTATAACCTTTAATTGCTCATATCAGCATTTTTGTGGGACCTCTCACAAAGTAGTGTCACTCATCTTTCACTTGGAACTATATGTAGAAGTGCAGTCATAGATCTTATACCAATGACATATAGAGGTCGTATTCACTGGCATACACACAAACACACACACACACACACACACACACACACACACACACACACACACACACACACATACATTCATGCATACATACATACATGCATAAACACACACACATACATACATATCTATGTGTGTATGTGTTTGTATGTATGTGTGTGTATGTGTGTATGTATGTGTGTGTGTGTATACTGATGAGGGCATAGTGTCGGAGATAAATATAATTTGATTTCTTAGATAGTCACTATTCTTTTCATTGGAATGTTAAGAAGGTATGCTATAATTTCAATATTTTATTACAGTGCTTGATGTTAGCTGGAATTATTTTAATCCTCTTAAACCCCCAGAGAAGATTATCCTCTGAGTTAATTTTTGTCCGTATATATGTCACAAATTAATGATAACTTATGAAAAACGTAATTATCTGTTTCGACAATTATGTACCGCATTATACGTGAGGTATCAAATTTGGTATCAAGGTTGCTTGGCGCAATCCACCAACGATTGCCGAGTTTAATGATCTTAGAATACTCTTCGTATAAGGTCAAAGAGAATATTAACGTTAGTGACAAATCCCTTTTTTATTATAGATTTCTCGTCCTTTCAATTTTGATCAAAACAGATATATTTCAGCAATAATTGATCGCAACAAATTTATTATACATTCTGATGCTCTTTGAAACTCAACAAGACATGCCCGAAGTTGTTATTAGTTCTTCATGACATATGAAAGGAATCCAGACAGTTAGATTTATTCATTTATTTCAATAAATATACTTCTTCCTATGAAAGGAAATATTTTATGTTATATTAATGATCCATATGTTAATCATACATTGCTACAAATATTGCATAAGTTAACATGGTTTGCATTTATTAATTATTATTTCTGTATCTGTGAGAAATTCACAGAGATCGAAAATACACAATATCTAATAGTATATGCAATGTAGGTAAAGAATATCCACGCCCCTCTTATGATATAAATATAAACATTGTATATAATGTTATGGATTAAGTATTATCCTTTCCCATGCATGGGAAATCTATGCTGCATTTGCTGACGACTGATTTTTTTCCCTTTGACATTGCACAGGAGATCTGTCACTCATTTGTTGTATTTGAATTCTTCATCAAAATATAATGTATAAATACGATTGAATTGTCTCGTTTGTTTCAAGAAACGGTCATGTACTCCTTATCAAATTAAGTAAACCTCCAATGCAAATCGACATAATTTCAGGGTCCGGTTGCACAGAGTTCTCTTCGGTAACTCGTAACTCAATGTTATTGCAATGGACTCCTAGCTAAGCTACTATTGGATGATAAATCAATTAACCTATTTGTCGAATAGACGTACCTAATGTAATCCATCATTTTTAACCCGAGGATGGATCTTTCAGTCATAAATTTCGATGTGTTCAGTTGCTAGAGTATTATTCTAACAATACAGACATGACGCAAGCTGCACGTAAAATAATTGATAAAGGTAGTCCTTGCGGGTTCACATACCTACATGTACATCGCCCAGGACATTGTCATTATTTGCTTTACATCCTCCGAGCAACGTTAAAAAAATTGAAACTTGAATAATAATAAATTGATGTTATGTATATGAACATGTACAAATCAGCTTGCACACAGATTACTGCAGAATGACATGTCATCCATTTGCTAGTTTAGTTCAGTTTAAACATATTTTATTCACAGAACAAAATGAGAATTGAATTGGGGACAAGTTCTTGCAACTTAGTAAACCCCTCTCCGCATAAAATATGTACAAATATACAGTTGCAAAATAAATAAATGTGCTTCAGTCAGTAAAAGTCATACTTTCCACATTTACACATCAATATATTTGTGTAAGTTTGTTACGTTATAATTATTCCATTGTGTATATTACTACCTACTTTACCAATTGAAATATGATTCCATTAGGTTAAATATGAACAACTATGATGAAAATCGTCAATAGGATATATTACAATTAAGTACAAAACACACAGTATTTCTCAAATAAATAAGAAAACTAAGTTCATTCTAGTAATTAATCCTCTTCTGGACAACCATAGAAATGAAATTCCAATGCGTTTATATATACATATAATTATACAACAATGTACGATAACGACCTCAATCCTCCCCCACACCCATACTTTGAAGACGATTGTACGATAAACCCTGTACCAACCCTGACAAGGATAGGTTCTAGTCATTTAACGCCTTTGACACTAAACTTATAAGGTTATTACAATTTACGTAAAAAGTTATTACATTTTACCGCAAGTTGAGATTATTACAATTTACGTCAATTTTTATTACAATTTGCGTATTACAATTTACGTCAAATTTTATTACAATTTACGTTGTTATTACAATTTACGTCAAAATTATTACCATTTGCTGCAAGTATTACAATTTACCTTTTTATTACAATTTACGTCGTAACAGGGCGCCTTCGCGCCATCCGAAAAGCCGTTTTGCTTTCACTTCAAATTAGCCTAGTTGCGCCCCTGAAACCAACATAATCAAAGCAACTATTGGATTCGAACCAACGATCATTGGTTTCTGTCGTTCCTAAGGCGGACTTTTAAACAGTGAACTGTGGTGCCCTAAACGTCCAGGCCCCCCGTACCCGTGTTCTAGTAGCCGAATGGTTTACTATTGTAATTTCCTCAATACATGTCACTTCGAACATGTATATAGAGTTTTGGCTTTGAACTGTATATATCATGTTGCTGGTGAGATGCATGACGTACTTGAAAACATCCACAATCCGTGCCTTTTGGGGGGACCGGAATTAGATGAAATAGAAATGCAAAGGGTTAGACTCCCTTGTGTAAGAATGTTTCAGTGATACTGTGACGCCACAGTACCATTGTACATGAAACATGAAACTAAAGAAACAATCAAAGATTTCTTTCCACTTTGAACACGTGAATTGTTTTAGAATAAGTAGAGTTGAAAAAGGAGTGCAACCACTTCTGCGCATGTGTAGTATAATTCGCGTACTACACATGCGCACCAATAATGGGAAAGGGCGAGAACCTCACACTATGACAATCAAGTATATATGTAACATTGTCGCATTGCGGTATATTTAAACGCCGATGCGACAAGCCAACATATATTTTGTTCCTAATAAATGGGTGGTTGTTGAATTGCTGCTCTTTTGTGAAAATACAAAACATTATTCTGAGAACAGCAATGCGACAATTGATGTACATTTCGCGTAGTCGCATTGTGTCATTGCGATACTTTAACTTGTCATTTATAGCTTAGCCTACACACAACACAACATAACATAACATAACGACAATGTCCCTTACAGGATTCCACAACCTTTGGTTACTGCTCTTATTCGAATGTCCTTCAAATAAAATGCAAATGGTTTTTCATGGAAGTCAAAATACTTTGTTTCTTCACGAGAGGGATGGTTTTGTTCAGGCGTAAATATGGGTGGTTATGAAATGAACAGTTATTTTATTTTTTAGCGGGATGGTAATTCAAAACCAGCGGGAGATGAAAAACACAAACAAAATACTTTCCGATCTCTCATCGTTTTGAATGTCACGCTTTAGCAGCGGACGTTGCTTTTTAACTCACTCTGCACGATGACTTCTTTTATGATATTTAGGAACAGCCATAATACGTGTGTCATTTATGCGGGAAGGCAATTGTAACCAAAGTGTACAACACCTGAATTCTGTTGACATTGCTGAGATGTATAAACTTACTTCACCAGGAAAGTAAAATATGACTTACCAGACAAGAAGAGGTAAGTGTCACATTCTGTTTGTCAATTGTGAAGTGGTGAGTATGTTTCACACATGTTTTGTTCACATCGCCGACCACAAATAAATCCTGTTCGTAGTTGCTGTTTTTAAGTATCTGTATTGACTTGTTAGCGTAACAAACTGGAAACGAAAAACAAAAATTTATTATAATTTAGCTTATTATCCACATGGACGGTGAAGCTTTGATTTCTGTAGATGCTGTGATGCCCCCTCCCCCAACAATAAATAAATAAATATCTTTAGGATTTACCCCCACCCCCTCAATAAATAAATGCATTGGTTGCAGATTGAAATGTGCTATAAAATGAGAATAAGCGTATGTTTTGAACCAGTGCCTTGTTAATATATTCTGTCTGGCACAAATCGCGGCCCCCATAATAATAACTGGTGGATACCTTTCACAGAATATCAACATACGTACTGATGCTGAAGGGATGAACCAAAGGCATGTTGGCTGCTCTCAGATGCTGTCAACAGAATGCAGAATATAACACTCAGCTGGGAGAAGAAAGGGGATTAATTATATGTATCCATTTTATCTTACACTTATCCATTGTAACTTACGACATGAATACTTACTTCTCCATTTGATAACGGTTAGCATGGAACCAGTGGAGGGGGATAGTGTTATTTCCACGCTTGTTGAAACATTACGTGTCAGTTCACCTTTATCTAAATCAGCAGACTTGTAAACATAGTTACTTGAAATACAAATTATAGAAATCTACTTCTACCTTAGGTCTATACGTCAAGACGATTGGGGTGATAAATGAAAACTTACAACATACAATGAGATGTCACCTAAAACATTTGATCATGTGAGATGCAAATAGAACCTGTCGTATTTACTATTCTACTCACAGTTGGTTTTGGTGTCGGCTTCTGAAAATAAAGAGATTGGGTTATTCAAATCACATCTTAGTTCGCGCTTCCGCTAAACAAAGATCTCAGGACATCCCATTACCAATAATGGGAAAGTGCGAGAACGACACTATGACAATAGAGTATATATGTAACATTGTCACATTGATTTATATTTTAACGCGGTTGTGACAAGGCAACACATATCTTGATATATGAAAACCTACAACATACAATGAGATGTCACCTAAAACATTTGATCATGTGAGATCCAAACAGAACCTGTCGTATTTACTATTCTACTCACAGTTGGTTTTGGTGTCGGCGTCTGAAAATAAAGAGATTGGGTTGTAATTGATTTCAGTTCTTCGTGCTGACTACAGTAATTCAATCTTATTCAAATCACATCTTAGTTCCTGCTTCCGCTAAACAAAGATCTCAGGACATCCCATTAACAATAAAGGGAAAGTGCGAGAACGACACTATGACAATAGAGTATATATGTAACATTGTCACATTGATTTGTATTTTAACGCCGTTGTGACAAGGCAACACATGTATTGATCAATGAAAACCTACAACAAACAATGAGATGTCACCTAAAACATTTGATCATGTGAGATGCAATTAGAACCTGTCGTATTTACTATTCTACTCACAGTTGGTTTTGGTGTCGGCGTCTGAAAATAAAGAGATTGGGTTGTAATTGATTTCAGTTCTTCGTGCTGACTACAGTAATTCAATCTTATTCAAATCACATCTTAGTTCCTGCTTCCGCTAAACAAAGATCTCAAGACATCCCATTACCAATAATGGGAAAGTGCGAGAACGATACTATGACAATAGAGTTTATCATCCAAAACTGGCTCCCACAGGAGATATCGCTTGGAATAGATCAAGCGATATCTACACTGTAGATATCGCTGCAATGAAATTACATCACAATGCTTTGCAGACCATTGTGACGTCACTGGTTACCATGACGTCACAATCAAATGACATCACTTATGGCTCTGCTACTGAAGCTGATAGCAGTACTTTTTACACTGAAGATCCTGCTAATTACTGTCTACAAATTGAAAAAGTTGGAAGAATGAGGTTGGATGATAAATAAAATCTCACCCTCGTGTCTTTTGATATCAAATATATATACACTCGTTGATAAAAGTGGCAAAAATCCTCGGCAAGCCTCGAAATTTTTCCACTTTTATCAACTCGTGTTGATATATTTGATATCAAAAGGCACTCGGGTGAGATTCTCTATATATATGTAACAATGTCACATTGATTTATATTTTAACGCGGTTGCGACAAGGCAACACATACCGGTATGTTGATCAATGAAAACCTACAACATACAATGAGATGTCACCTAAAACATTTGATCATGTGAGATGCAAATAGAACCTGTCGTATTTACTATTCTACTCACAGTTGGTTTTGGTGTCGGCGTCTGAAAATAAAGATATTGGGTTGTAATTGATTTCAGTTCTTCGTGCTGACTACAGTAATTCAATCTTATTCAAATCACATCTTAATTCCCGCTTCCACTACACAAAGATCTCAAGACATCCCATTACCAATAATGGGAAAGTGCGAGAACGATACTATGACAATAGAGTTTATATGTAACATTGTGGCATTGATTTATATTTTAACGCGGTTGCGACAAGGCAACACAGATATTGATATATGAAAACCTACAACATACAATGAGATGTCACCTAAAACATTTGATCATGTGAGATGCAAATAGAACCTGTCGTATTTACTATTCTACTCACAGTTGGTTTTGGTGTCGGCGTCTGAAAATAAAGATATTGGGTTGTAATTGATTTCAGTTCTTCGTGCTAACTACAGTAATTCAATCTTATTCAAATCACATCTTAGTTCCCGCTTCCACTACACAAAGATCTCAGGACATCCCATTACCAATAATGGGAAAGTGCGAGAACGATACTATGACAATAGAGTTTATATGTAACATTGTGGCATTGATTTATATTTTAACGCGGTTGCGACAAGGCAACACAGATATTGATATATGAAAACCTACAACATACAATGAGATGTCACCTAAAACATTTGATCATGTGAGATGTAAATAGAACCTGTCATATTTACTATTCTACTCACAGTTGGTTTTGGTGTCGGCGTCTGAAAATAAAGAGATTGGGTTGTAATTGATTTCAGTTCTTCATGCTGACTACAGTAATTCAATCTTATTCAAATCACATCTTAGTTCCTGCTTCCGCTAAACAAAGATCTCGGGACATCCCATTACCAATAATGGGAAAGTGCGAGAACGATACTATGACAATAGAGTTTATCATCCAAAACTGGCTCCCACAGGAGATATCGCTTGGAATAGATCAAGCGATATCTACACTGTAGATATCGCTGCAATGAAATTACATCACAATGCTTTGCAGACCATTGTGACGTCACTGGTTACCATGACGTCACAATCAAATGACATCACTAATGGCTCTGCTAATGAAGCTGATAGCAGTACTTTTTACACTGAAGATCCTGCTAATTACTGTCTACAAATTGAAAAAGTTGGAAGAATGAGGTTGGATGATAAATAAAATCTCACCCTCGTGTCTTTTGATATCAAATATATATACACTCGTTGATAAAAGTGGCAAAAATCCTCGGCAAGCCTCAAATTTTTCCACTTTTATCAACTCATGTTGATATATTTGAAATCAAAAGGCACTCGGGTGAGATTCTCTATTTATTATCCAAAACTGGCTCCCACAGGAGATATCACTTGGATTATATCGCTGCAATGAAATTACATCACAATGCTTTGCAGACCATTGTGACGTCACTGGTTACCATGACGTCACAATCAAATGACATCACTAATGGCTCTGCTACTGAAGCTGATAGCAGTACTTTTTACACTGAAGATCCTGCTAATTACTGTCTACAAATTGAAAAAGTTGGAAGAATGAGGTTGGATGATAAATAAAATCTCACCCTCGTGTCTTTTGATATCAAATATATCAACACTCGTTGATAAAAGTGGCAAAAATCCTCGGCAAGCCTCGAAATTTTTCCACTTTTATCAACTCGTGTTGATATATTTGATATCAAAAGGCACTCGGGTGAGATTCTCTATATATATGTAACATTATCGCATTGATTTATATTTTAACGCGGTTGCGACAAGGCAACACATATCTTGATATATGAAAACCTACAACATACAATGAGATGTCACCTAAAACATTTGATCATGTGAGATGTAAATAGAACCTGTCGTATTTACTATTCTACTCACAGTTGGTTTTGGTGTTGGCGTCTAAAAATAAAGAGATTGGGTTGTAATTGATTTCAGTTCTTCGTGCTGACTACAGTAATTCAATCTTATTCAAATCACATCTTAGTTCCCGCTTCCGCTAAACAAAGATCTCAGGACATCCCATTACCAAAAATGGGAAAGTGCGAGAACGACACTATGTAACATTGTCACATTGATTTATATTTTAATGCCATTGCGACAAGGCAAAACATGTATTGATCAATGAAAACCTACAACATACAATGAGATGTCACCTAAAACATTTGATCATGTGAGATCCAAACAGAACCTGTCGTATTTACTATTCTACTCACAGTTGGTTTTGGTGTCGGCGTCTGAAAATAAAAAGATTGGGTTGTAATTGATTTCAGTTCTTCATGCTGACTACAGTAATTCAATCTTATTCAAATCACATCTTAGTTCCCGCTTCCGCTAAACAAAGATCTCAGGACATCCCCTTACCAATAATGGGAAAGTGCGAGAACGACACTATGACAATAGAGTATATATGTAACATTGTCACATTGATTTATATTTTAACGCTGTTGCGACAAGGCAACAAATATATTGATCAATGAAAACCTACACCATACAATGAGATGTCACCTAAAATATTTGATCATGTGAGATGCAAATAGAACCTGTCGTAATTACTATTCTACTCACAGTTGGTTTTGGTGTCGGCGTCTAAAAATAAAGATATTGGGTTGTAATTGATTTCAGTTCTTCGTGCTGACTACAGTAATTCAATCTGATTCAAATCACATCTTACTTCCTGCTTCCGCTAAACAAAGATCTCAGGACATCCCATTACCAATAATGGGAAAGTGCGAGAACGACACTATGACAATAGAGTTTATCATCCAAAACTGGCTCCCACAGGAGATATCGCTTGGATTAGATCAAGCGATATCTACACTGTAGATATCGCTGCAATGAAATTACATCACAATGCTTTGCAGACCATTGTGACGTCACTGGTTACCATGACATCACAATCAAATGACATCACTAATGGCTCTGCTACTGAAGCTGATAGCAGTACTTTTTACACTGAAGACCCTGCTAATTACTGTCTACAAATTGAAAAAGTTGGAAGAATGAGGTTGGATGATGAATAAAATCTCACCCTCGTGTCTTTTGATATCAAATATATCAACACTCGTTGATATAAGTGGCAAAAATCCTCGGCAAGCCTCGGAATTTTTCCACTTTTATCAACTCGTGTTGATATATTTGATATCAAAAGGCACTCGGGTGAGATTCTCCAATTATCATCCAAAACTGGCTCCCACAGGAGATATCACTTGGATTATATCGCTGCAATGAAATTACATCACAATGCTTTGCAGACCATTGTGACGTCACTGGTTACCATGACGTCACAATCAAATGACATCACTAATGGCTCTGCTACTGAAGCTGATAGCAGTACTTTTTACACTGAAGACCCTGCTAATTACTGTCTACAAATTGAAAAAGTTGGAAGAATGAGGTTGGATGATGAATAAAATCTCACCCTCGTGTCTTTTGATATCAAATATATCAACACTCGTTGATAAAAGTGGCAAAAATCCTCGGCAAGCCTCGGAATTTTTCCACTTTTAGCAACTCGTGTTGATATATTTGATATCAAAAGGCACTCGGGTGAGATTCTCCAATTATCATCCAAAACTGGCTCCCACAGGAGATATCACTTGGATTATATCGCTGCAATGAAATTACATCACAATGCTTTGCAGACCATTGTGACGTCACTGGTTACCATGACATCACAATCAAATGACATCACTAATGGCTCTGCTACTGAAGCTGATAGCAGTACTTTTTACACTGAAGACCCTGCTAATTACTGTCTACAAATTGAAAAAGTTGGAAGAATGAGGTTGGATGATGAATAAAATCTCACCCTCGTGTCTTTTGATATCAAATATATCAACACTCGTTGAAAAAAGTGGCAAAAATCCTCGGCAAGCCTCGGAATTTTTCCACTTTTAGCAACTCGTGTTGATATATTTGATATCAAAAGGCACTCGGGTGAGATTCTCTCTATATATATATATATGTAACATTATCGCATTGATTTATATTTTAACGCGGTTGCGACAAGGCAACACATATCTTGATATATGAAAACCTACAACATACAATGAGATGTCACCTAAAACATTTGATCATGTGAGATGCAAATAGAACCTGTCGTATTTACTATTCTACTCACAGTTGGTTTTGGTGTCGGCGTCTAAAAATAAAGAAATTTGGTTGTAATTGATTTCAGTTCTTCGTGCTGACTACAGTAATTCAATCTTATTCAAATCACATCTTAGTTCCCGCTTCCGCTAAACAAAGATCTCAGGACATCCCATTACCAATAATGGGAAAGTGCAAGAACGACACCATGTAACATTGTCACATTGATTTATATTTTAATACCATTGCGATAAGGCAAAACATGTATTGATATATGAAAACCTACAACATACAATGAGATGTCACCTAAAACATTTGATCATGTGAGATGCAAATAGAACCTGTTGTATTTACTATTCTACTCACAGTTGGTTTTGGTGTCGGCGTCTGAAAATAAAGAGATTGGGTTGTAATTGATTTCAGTTCTTCGTGCTGACTACAGTAATTCAATCTTATTCAAATCACATCTTAGTTCCTGCTTCCGCTAAACAAAGATCTCAGGACATCCCATTACCAATAATGGGAAAGTGCGAGAACGACACTATGTAACATTGTCACATTGATTTATATTTTAATGCCATTGCGACAAGGCAAAACATGTATTGATCAATGAAAACCTACAACATACAATGAGATGTCACCTAAAACATTTGATCATGTGAGATGTAAATAGAACCTGTCGTATTTACTATTCTACTCACAGTTGGTTTTGGTGTCGGCTTCTGAAAATAAAAAGATTGGGTTGTAATTGATTTCAGTTCTTCGTGCTGACTACAGTAATTCAATCTTATTCAAATCACATCTTAGTTCCCGCTTCCGCTAAACAAAGATCTCAGGACATCCCATTACCAATAATGGGAAAGTGCGAGAACGACACTATGACAATAGAGTATATATGTAACATTGTCACATTGATTTATATTTTAACGCTGTTGCGACAGGGCAACAAATATATTGATATATGAAAACCTACAGCATACAATGAGATGTCACCTAAAACATTTGATCATGTGAGATGTAAATAGAACCTGTCGTATTTACTATTCTACTCACAGTTGGTTTTGGTGTCGGCGTCTGAAAATAAAAAGATTGGGTTGTAATTGATTTCAGTTCTTCATGCTGACTACAGTAATTCAATCTTATTCAAATCACATCTTAGTTCCCGCTTCCGCTAAACAAAGATCTCAAGACATCCCATTACCAATAATGGGAAAGTGCGAGAACGACACTATGACAATAGAGTTTATCATCCAAAACTGGCTCCCACAGGAGATATCGCTTGGATTAGATCAAGCGATATCTACACTGTAGCTATCGCTGCAATGAAATTACATCACAATGCTTTGCTGACCATTGTGACGTCACTGGTTACCATGACGTCACAATCAAATGACATCACTAATGGCTCTGCTACTGAAGCTGATAGCAGTACTTTTTACACTGAAGATCCTGCTAATTACTGTCTACAAATTGAAAAAGTTGGAAGAATGAGGTTGGATGATAAATAAAATCTCACCCTCGTGTCTTTTGATATCAAATATATCAACACTCGTTGATAAAAGTGGCAAAAATCCTCGGCAAGCCTCGAAATTTTTCCACTTTTAGCAACTCGTGTTGATATATTTGATATCAAAAGGCACTCGGGTGAGATTCTCTATATATATATATGTAACATTATCGCATTGATTTATATTTTAACGAGGTTGTGACAAGGCAACACATATGTTGATCAATGAAAACCTACAACATACAATGAGATGTCACCTAAAACATTTGATCATGTGAGATGCAAATAGAACCTGTCGTATTTACTATTCTACTCACAGTTGGTTTTGGTGTCGGCGTCTAAAAATAAAGAAATTTGGTTGTAATTGATTTCAGTTCTTCGTGCTGACTACAGTAATTCAATCTTATTCAAATCACATCTTAGTTACTGCTTCCGCTAAACAAAGATCTCAAGACATACCATTACCAATAATGGGAAAGTGAGAGTACGATACTATGACAATAGAGTTTATCATCCAAAACTGGCTCCCACAGGAGATATCGCTTGGATTATATCGCTGCAATGAAATTACATCACAATGCTTTGCAGACCATTGTGACGTCACTGGTTACCATGACATCACAATCAAATGACATCACTATTGGCTCTGCTACTGAAGCTGATAGCAGTACTTTTTACACTGAAGATCCTGCTAATTACTGTCTACAAATTGAAAAAGTTGGAAGAATGAAGTTGGATGATCAATAAAATCTCACCCTCGTGTCTTTTGATATCAAACATATCAACACTCGTTGATAAAAGTGGCAAAAATCCTCGGCAAGCCTCGGAATTTTTCCACTTTTAGCAACTCGTGTTGACATATTTGATATCAAAAGGCACTCGGGTGAGATTCTCTCTATATATATATGTAACATTATCGCATTGATTTATATTTTAACGCGGTTGTGACAAGGCAACACATATGTTGATATATGAAAACCTACAACATACAATGAGATGTCACCTAAAACATTTGATCATGTGAGATGCAAATAGAACCTGTCGTATTTACTATTCTACTCACAGTTGGTTTTGGTGTCGGCGTCTGAAAATAAAGATATTGGGTTGTAATTGATTTCAGTTCTTCGTGCTGACTACAGTAATTCAATCTTATTCAAATCACATCTTAATTCCCGCTTCCACTACACAAAGATCTCAGGACATCCCATTACCAATAATGGGAAAGTGCGAGAACGATACTATGACAATAGAGTTTATATGTAACATTGTGGCATTGATTTATATTTTAACGCGGTTGCGACAAGGCAACACAGATATTGATGTATGAAAACCTACAACATACAATGAGATGTCACCTAAAACATTTGATCATGTGAGATGCAAATAGAACCTGTCGTATTTACTATTCTACTCACAGTTGGTTTTGGTGTCGGCGTCTGAAAATAAAGATATTGGGTTGTAATTGATTTCAGTTCTTCGTGCTAACTACAGTAAATCAATCTTATTCAAATCACATCTTAGTTCCCGCTTCCACTACACAAAGATCTCAGGACATCCCATTACCAATAATGGGAAAGTGCGAGAACGACACTATGACAGTAGAGTATATATGGAACATTGTGGCTCGATTTATATTTTAACGCGGTTGCGAAAAGGCAACACATATATTGTTATATGAAAACCTACAACATACAATGAGATGTCACCTAAAACATTTGATCATGTGAGATGTAAATAGAACCTATCGTATTTACTATTCTACTCACAGTTGGTTTTGGTGTCGGCGTCTGAAAATAAAGAGATTGGGTTGTAATTGATTTCAGTTCTTCATGCTGACTACAGTAATTCAATCTTATTCAAATCACATCTTAGTTCCCGCTTTCACTACACAAAGATCTCAGGACATCCCATTACCAATAATGGGAAAGTGCGAGAACGATACTATGACAATAGAGTTTATATGTAACATTGTGGCATTGATTTATATTTTAACGCGGTTGCGACAAGGCAACACAGATATTGATATATGAAAACCTACAACATACAATGAGATGTCACCTAAAACATTTGATCATGTGAGATGTAAATAGAACCTGTCATATTTACTATTCTACTCACAGTTGGTTTTGGTGTCGGCGTCTGAAAATAAAGAGATTGGGTTGTAATTGATTTCAGTTCTTCATGCTGACTACAGTAATTCAATCTTATTCAAATCACATCTTAGTTCCTGCTTCCGCTAAACAAAGATCTCAGGACATCCCATTACCAATAATGGGAAAGTGCGAGAACGATACTATGACAATAGAGTTTATCATCCAAAATTGGCTCCCACAGGAGATATCGCTTGGAATAGATCAAGCGATATCTACACTGTAGATATCGCTGCAATGAAATTACATCACAATGCTTTGCAGACCATTGTGACGTCACTGGTTACCATGACGTCACAATCAAATGACATCACTAATGGCTCTGCTAATGAAGCTGATAGCAGTACTTTTTACACTGAAGATCCTGCTAATTACTGTCTACAAATTGAAAAAGTTGGAAGAATGAGGTTGGATGATAAATAAAATCTCACCCTCGTGTCTTTTGATATCAAATATATATACACTCGTTGATAAAAGTGGCAAAAATCCTCGGCAAGCCTCAAATTTTTCCACTTTTATCAACTCATGTTGATATATTTGAAATCAAAAGGCACTCGGGTGAGATTCTCTATTTATTATCCAAAACTGGCTCCCACAGGAGATATCACTTGGATTATATCGCTGCAATGAAATTACATCACAATGCTTTGCAGACCATTGTGACGTCACTGGTTACCATGACGTCACAATCAAATGACATCACTAATGGCTCTGCTACTGAAGCTGATAGCAGTACTTTTTACACTGAAGATCCTGCTAATTACTGTCTACAAATTGAAAAAGTTGGAAGAATGAGGTTGGATGATAAATAAAATCTCACCCTCGTGTCTTTTGATATCAAATATATCAACACTCGTTGATAAAAGTGGCAAAAATCCTCGGCAAGCCTCGAAATTTTTCCACTTTTATCAACTCGTGTTGATATATTTGATATCAAAAGGCACTCGGGTGAGATTCTCTATATATATGTAACATTATCGCATTGATTTATATTTTAACGCGGTTGCGACAAGGCAACACATATCTTGATATATGAAAACCTACAACATACAATGAGATGTCACCTAAAACATTTGATCATGTGAGATGTAAATAGAACCTGTCGTATTTACTATTCTACTCACAGTTGGTTTTGGTGTTGGCGTCTAAAAATAAAGAGATTGGGTTGTAATTGATTTCAGTTCTTCGTGCTGACTACAGTAATTCAATCTTATTCAAATCACATCTTAGTTCCCGCTTCCGCTAAACAAAGATCTCAGGACATCCCATTACCAAAAATGGGAAAGTGCGAGAACGACACTATGTAACATTGTCACATTGATTTATATTTTAATGCCATTGCGACAAGGCAAAACATGTATTGATCAATGAAAACCTACAACATACAATGAGATGTCACCTAAAACATTTGATCATGTGAGATCCAAACAGAACCTGTCGTATTTACTATTCTACTCACAGTTGGTTTTGGTGTCGGCTTCTGAAAATAAAGAGATTGGGTTGTAATTGATTTCAGTTCTTCGTGCTGACTACAGTAATTCAATCTTATTCAAATCACATCTTAGTTCCTGCTTCCGCTAAACAAAGATCTCAGGACATCCCATTACCAATAATGGGAAAGTGCGAGAACGACACTATGACAATAGAGTATATATGTAACATTGTCACATTGATTTATATTTTAACGCTGTTGCGACAGGGCAACAAATATATTGATATATGAAAACCTACAGCATACAATGAGATGTCACCTAAAACATTTGATCATGTGAGATGTAAATAGAACCTGTCGTATTTACTATTCTACTCACAGTTGGTTTTGGTGTCGGCGTCTGAAAATAAAAAGATTGGGTTGTAATTGATTTCAGTTCTTCATGCTGACTACAGTAATTCAATCTTATTCAAATCACATCTTAGTTCCCGCTTCCGCTAAACAAAGATCTCAGACATCCCCTTACCAATAATGGGAAAGTGCGAGAACGACACTATGACAATAGAGTATATATGTAACATTGTCACATTGATTTATATTTTAACGCTGTTGCGACAAGGCAACAAATATATTGATCAATGAAAACCTACACCATACAATGAGATGTCACCTAAAACATTTGATCATGTGAGATGCAAATAGAACCTGTCGTAATTACTATTCTACTCACAGTTGGTTTTGGTGTCGGCGTCTAAAAATAAAGATATTGGGTTGTAATTGATTTCAGTTCTTCGTGCTGACTACAGTAATTCAATCTGATTCAAATCACATCTTACTTCCTGCTTCCGCTAAACAAAGATCTCAGGACATCCCATTACCAATAATGGGAAAGTGCGAGAACGACACTATGACAATAGAGTTTATCATCCAAAACTGGCTCCCACAGGAGATATCGCTTGGATTAGATCAAGCGATATCTACACTGTAGATATCGCTGCAATGAAATTACATCACAATGCTTTGCAGACCATTGTGACGTCACTGGTTACCATGACATCACAATCAAATGACATCACTAATGGCTCTGCTACTGAAGCTGATAGCAGTACTTTTTACACTGAAGACCCTGCTAATTACTGTCTACAAATTGAAAAAGTTGGAAGAATGAGGTTGGATGATGAATAAAATCTCACCCTCGTGTCTTTTGATATCAAATATATCAACACTCGTTGATATAAGTGGCAAAAATCCTCGGCAAGCCTCGGAATTTTTCCACTTTTATCAACTCGTGTTGATATATTTGATATCAAAAGGCACTCGGGTGAGATTCTCCAATTATCATCCAAAACTGGCTCCCACAGGAGATATCACTTGGATTATATCGCTGCAATGAAATTACATCACAATGCTTTGCAGACCATTGTGACGTCACTGGTTACCATGACATCACAATCAAATGACATCACTAATGGCTCTGCTACTGAAGCTGATAGCAGTACTTTTTACACTGAAGACCCTGCTAATTACTGTCTACAAATTGAAAAAGTTGGAAGAATGAGGTTGGATGATGAATAAAATCTCACCCTCGTGTCTTTTGATATCAAATATATCAACACTCGTTGATAAAAGTGGCAAAAATCCTCGGCAAGCCTCGGAATTTTTCCACTTTTATCAACTCGTGTTGATATATTTGATATCAAAAGGCACTCGGGTGAGATTCTCCAATTATCATCCAAAACTGGCTCCCACAGGAGATATCACTTGGATTATATCGCTGCAATGAAATTACATCACAATGCTTTGCAGACCATTGTGACGTCACTGGTTACCATGACGTCACAATCAAATGACATCACTAATGGCTCTGCTACTGAAGCTGATAGCAGTACTTTTTACACTGAAGACCCTGCTAATTACTGTCTACAAATTGAAAAAGTTGGAAGAATGATGTTGAATGATAAATAAAATCTCCCCCTCGTGTCTTTTGATATCAAATATATCAACACTCGTTGATAAAAGTGGCAAAAATCCTCGGCAAGCCTCGAAATTTTTCCACTTTTAGCAACTCGTGTTGATATATTTGATATCAAAAGGCACTCGGGTGAGATTCTCTATATATATATATATGTAACATTATCGCATTGATTTATATTTTAACGCGGTTGCGACAAGGCAACACATATACTGATAAATGAAAACTTACAACATACAATGAGATGTCACCTAAAACATTTGATCATGTGAGATGCAAATAGAACCTGTCGTATTTACTATTCTACTCACAGTTGGTTTTGGTGTCGGCGTCTAAAAATAAAGAGATTGGGTTGTAATTGATTTCAGTTCTTCTTGCTGACTACAGTAATTCAATCTTATTCAAATCACATCTTAGTTCCCGCTTCCGCTAAACAAAGATCTCAGGACATCCCATTACCAATAATGGGAAAGTGCAAGAACGACACCATGTAACATTGTCACATTGATTTATATTTTAATGCCATTGCGACAAGGCAAAACATGTATTGATATATGAAAACCTACAACATACAATGAGATGTCACCTAAAACATTTGATCATGTGAGATGCAAATAGAACCTGTTGTATTTACTATTCTACTCACAGTTGGTTTTGGTGTCGGCGTCTGAAAATAAAGAGATTGGGTTGTAATTGATTTCAGTTCTTCGTGCTGACTACAGTAATTCAATCTTATTCAAATCACATCTTAGTTCCTGCTTCCGCTAAACAAAGATCTCAGGACATCCCATTACCAATAATTGGAAAGTGCGAGAACGACACTATGACAATAGAGTTTATCATCCAAAACTGGCTCCCACAGGAGATATCGCTTGGATTAAATCAAGCGATATCTACACTGTAGCTATCGCTGCAATGAAATTACATCACAATGCTTTGCAGACCATTGTGACGTCACTGGTTACCATGACGTCACAATCAAATGACATCACTAATGGCTCTGCTACTGAAGCTGATAGCAGTACTTTTTACACTGGAGACCCTGCTAATTACTGTCTACAAATTGAAAAAGTTGGAAGAATGAGGTTGGATGATGAATAAAATCTCACCCTCGTGTCTTTTGATATCAAATATATCAACACTCGTTGAAAAAAGTGGCAAAAATCCTCGGCAAGCCTCGGAATTTTTCCACTTTTATCAACTCGTGTTGATATATTTGATATCAAAAGGCACTCGGGTGAGATTCTCTATATATATATATATATGTAACATTATCGCATTGATTTATATTTTAACGCGGTTGCGACAAGGCAACACATATCTTGATATATGAAAACCTACAACATACAATGAGATGTCACCTAAAACATTTGATCATGTGAGATGCAAATAGAACCTGTCGTATTTACTATTCTACTCACAGTTGGTTTTGGTGTCGGCGTCTAAAAATAAAGAAATTTGGTTGTAATTGATTTCAGTTCTTCGTGCTGACTACAGTAATTCAATCTTATTCAAATCACATCTTAGTTCCCGCTTCCGCTAAACAAAGATCTCAGGACATCCCATTACCAATAATGGGAAAGTGCAAGAACGACACCATGTAACATTGTCACATTGATTTATATTTTAATACCATTGCGATAAGGCAAAACATGTATTGATATATGAAAACCTACAACATACAATGAGATGTCACCTAAAACATTTGATCATGTGAGATGCAAATAGAACCTGTTGTATTTACTATTCTGCTCACAGTTGGTTTTGGTGTCGGCGTCTGAAAATAAAGAGATTGGGTTGTAATTGATTTCAGTTCTTCGTGCTGACTACAGTAATTCAATCTTATTCAAATCACATCTTAGTTCCTGCTTCCGCTAAACAAAGATCTCAGGACATCCCATTACCAATAATGGGAAAGTGCGAGAACGACACTATGTAACATTGTCACATTGATTTATATTTTAATGCCATTGCGACAAGGCAAAACATGTATTGATCAATGAAAACCTACAACATACAATGAGATGTCACCTAAAACATTTGATCATGTGAGATGTAAATAGAACCTGTCGTATTTACTATTCTACTCACAGTTGGTTTTGGTGTCGGCTTCTGAAAATAAAAAGATTGGGTTGTAATTGATTTCAGTTCTTCATGCTGACTACAGTAATTCAATCTTATTCAAATCACATCTTAGTTCCCGCTTCCGCTAAACAAAGATCTCAGGACATCCCATTACCAATAATGGGAAAGTGCGAGAACGACACTATGACAATAGAGTATATATGTAACATTGTCACATTGATTTATATTTTAACGCTGTTGCGACAGGGCAACAAATATATTGATATATGAAAACCTACAGCATACAATGAGATGTCACCTAAAACATTTGATCATGTGAGATGTAAATAGAACCTGTCGTATTTACTATTCTACTCACAGTTGGTTTTGGTGTCGGCGTCTGAAAATAAAAAGATTGGGTTGTAATTGATTTCAGTTCTTCATGCTGACTACAGTAATTCAATCTTATTCAAATCACATCTTAGTTCCCGCTTCCGCTAAACAAAGATCTCAAGACATCCCATTACCAATAATGGGAAAGTGCGAGAACGACACTATGACAATAGAGTTTATCATCCAAAACTGGCTCCCACAGGAGATATCGCTTGGATTAGATCAAGCGATATCTACACTGTAGCTATCGCTGCAATGAAATTACATCACAATGCTTTGCAGACCATTGTGACGTCACTGGTTACCATGACGTCACAATCAAATGACATCACTAATGGCTCTGCTACTGAAGCTGATAGCAGTACTTTTTACACTGAAGATCCTGCTAATTACTGTCTACAAATTGAAAAAGTTGGAAGAATGAGGTTGGATGATAAATAAAATCTCACCCTCGTGTCTTTTGATATCAAATATATCAACACTCGTTGATAAAAGTGGCAAAAATCCTCGGCAAGCCTCGAAATTTTTCCACTTTTAGCAACTCGTGTTGATATATTTGATATCAAAAGGCACTCGGGTGAGATTCTCTATATATATATATGTAACATTATCGCATTGATTTATATTTTAACGAGGTTGTGACAAGGCAACACATATGTTGATCAATGAAAACCTACAACATACAATGAGATGTCACCTAAAACATTTGATCATGTGAGATGCAAATAGAACCTGTCGTATTTACTATTCTACTCACAGTTGGTTTTGGTGTCGGCGTCTAAAAATAAAGAAATTTGGTTGTAATTGATTTCAGTTCTTCGTGCTGACTACAGTAATTCAATCTTATTCAAATCACATCTTAGTTCCTGCTTCCGCTAAACAAAGATCTCAAGACATACCATTACCAATAATGGGAAAGTGAGAGTACGATACTATGACAATAGAGTTTATCATCCAAAACTGGCTCCCACAGGAGATATCGCTTGGATTATATCGCTGCAATGAAATTACATCACAATGCTTTGCAGACCATTGTGACGTCACTGGTTACCATGACATCACAATCAAATGACATCACTATTGGCTCTGCTACTGAAGCTGATAGCAGTACTTTTTACACTGAAGATCCTGCTAATTACTGTCTACAAATTGAAAAAGTTGGAAGAATGAAGTTGGATGATCAATAAAATCTCACCCTCGTGTCTTTTGATATCAAACATATCAACACTCGTTGATAAAAGTGGCAAAAATCCTCGGCAAGCCTCGGAATTTTTCCACTTTTAGCAACTCGTGTTGATATATTTGATATCAAAAGGCACTCGGGTGAGATTCTCTCTATATATATATGTAACATTATCGCATTGATTTATATTTTAACGCGGTTGTGACAAGGCAACACATATGTTGATATATGAAAACCTACAACATACAATGAGATGTCACCTAAAACATTTGATCATGTGAGATGCAAATAGAACCTGTCGTATTTACTATTCTACTCACAGTTGGTTTTGGTGTCGGCGTCTGAAAATAAAGATATTGGGTTGTAATTGATTTCAGTTCTTCGTGCTGACTACAGTAATTCAATCTTATTCAAATCACATCTTAATTCCCGCTTCCACTACACAAAGATCTCAGGACATCCCATTACCAATAATGGGAAAGTGCGAGAACGATACTATGACAATAGAGTTTATATGTAACATTGTGGCATTGATTTATATTTTAACGCAGTTGCGACAAGGCAACACAGATATTGATATATGAAAACCTACAACATACAATGAGATGTCACCTAAAACATTTGATCATGTGAGATGCAAATAGAACCTGTCGTATTTACTATTCTACTCACAGTTGGTTTTGGTGTCGGCGTCTGAAAATAAAGATATTGGGTTGTAATTGATTTCAGTTCTTCGTGCTAACTACAGTAATTCAATCTTATTCAAATCACATCTTAGTTCCCGCTTCCACTACACAAAGATCTCAGGACATCCCATTACCAATAATGGGAAAGTGCGAGAACGACACTATGACAGTAGAGTATATATGGAACATTGTGGCTCGATTTATATTTTAACGCGGTTGCGAAAAGGCAACACATATATTGTTATATGAAAACCTACAACATACAATGAGATGTCACCTAAAACATTTGATCATGTGAGATGTAAATAGAACCTATCGTATTTACTATTCTACTCACAGTTGGTTTTGGTGTCGGCGTCTGAAAATAAAGAGATTGGGTTGTAATTGATTTCAGTTCTTCATGCTGACTACAGTAATTCAATCTTATTCAAATCACATCTTAGTTCCCGCTTCCACTACACAAAGATCTCAGGACATCCCATTACCAATAATGGGAAAGTGCGAGAACGATACTATGACAATAGAGTTTATATGTAACATTGTGGCATTGATTTATATTTTAACGCGGTTGCGACAAGGCAACACAGATATTGATATATGAAAACCTACAACATACAATGAGATGTCACCTAAAACATTTGATCATGTGAGATGTAAATAGAACCTGTCATATTTACTATTCTACTCACAGTTGGTTTTGGTGTCGGCGTCTGAAAATAAAGAGATTGGGTTGTAATTGATTTCAGTTCTTCATGCTGACTACAGTAATTCAATCTTATTCAAATCACATCTTAGTTCCTGCTTCCGCTAAACAAAGATCTCAGGACATCCCATTACCAATAATGGGAAAGTGCGAGAACGATACTATGACAATAGAGTTTATCATCCAAAATTGGCTCCCACAGGAGATATCGCTTGGAATAGATCAAGCGATATCTACACTGTAGATATCGCTGCAATGAAATTACATCACAATGCTTTGCAGACCATTGTGACGTCACTGGTTACCATGACGTCACAATCAAATGACATCACTAATGGCTCTGCTAATGAAGCTGATAGCAGTACTTTTTACACTGAAGATCCTGCTAATTACTGTCTACAAATTGAAAAAGTTGGAAGAATGAGGTTGGATGATAAATAAAATCTCACCCTCGTGTCTTTTGATATCAAATATATATACACTCGTTGATAAAAGTGGCAAAAATCCTCGGCAAGCCTCAAATTTTTCCACTTTTATCAACTCATGTTGATATATTTGAAATCAAAAGGCACTCGGGTGAGATTCTCTATTTATTATCCAAAACTGGCTCCCACAGGAGATATCACTTGGATTATATCGCTGCAATGAAATTACATCACAATGCTTTGCAGACCATTGTGACGTCACTGGTTACCATGACGTCACAATCAAATGACATCACTAATGGCTCTGCTACTGAAGCTGATAGCAGTACTTTTTACACTGAAGATCCTGCTAATTACTGTCTACAAATTGAAAAAGTTGGAAGAATGAGGTTGGATGATAAATAAAATCTCACCCTCGTGTCTTTTGATATCAAATATATCAACACTCGTTGATAAAAGTGGCAAAAATCCTCGGCAAGCCTCGAAATTTTTCCACTTTTATCAACTCGTGTTGATATATTTGATATCAAAAGGCACTCGGGTGAGATTCTCTATATATATGTAACATTATCGCATTGATTTATATTTTAACGCGGTTGCGACAAGGCAACACATATCTTGATATATGAAAACCTACAACATACAATGAGATGTCACCTAAAACATTTGATCATGTGAGATGTAAATAGAACCTGTCGTATTTACTATTCTACTCACAGTTGGTTTTGGTGTTGGCGTCTAAAAATAAAGAGATTGGGTTGTAATTGATTTCAGTTCTTCGTGCTGACTACAGTAATTCAATCTTATTCAAATCACATCTTAGTTCCCGCTTCCGCTAAACAAAGATCTCAGGACATCCCATTACCAAAAATGGGAAAGTGCGAGAACGACACTATGTAACATTGTCACATTGATTTATATTTTAATGCCATTGCGACAAGGCAAAACATGTATTGATCAATGAAAACCTACAACATACAATGAGATGTCACCTAAAACATTTGATCATGTGAGATCCAAACAGAACCTGTCGTATTTACTATTCTACTCACAGTTGGTTTTGGTGTCGGCTTCTGAAAATAAAAAGATTGGGTTGTAATTGATTTCAGTTCTTCGTGCTGACTACAGTAATTCAATCTTATTCAAATCACATCTTAGTTCCTGCTTCCGCTAAACAAAGATCTCAGGACATCCCATTACCAATAATGGGAAAGTGCGAGAACGACACTATGACAATAGAGTATATATGTAACATTGTCACATTGATTTATATTTTAACGCTGTTGCGACAGGGCAACAAATATATTGATATATGAAAACCTACAGCATACAATGAGATGTCACCTAAAACATTTGATCATGTGAGATGTAAATAGAACCTGTCGTATTTACTATTCTACTCACAGTTGGTTTTGGTGTCGGCGTCTGAAAATAAAAAGATTGGGTTGTAATTGATTTCAGTTCTTCATGCTGACTACAGTAATTCAATCTTATTCAAATCACATCTTAGTTCCCGCTTCCGCTAAACAAAGATCTCAGGACATCCCCTTACCAATAATGGGAAAGTGCGAGAACGACACTATGACAATAGAGTATATATGTAACATTGTCACATTGATTTATATTTTAACGCTGTTGCGACAAGGCAACAAATATATTGATCAATGAAAACCTACACCATACAATGAGATGTCACCTAAAACATTTGATCATGTGAGATGCAAATAGAACCTGTCGTAATTACTATTCTACTCACAGTTGGTTTTGGTGTCGGCGTCTGAAAATAAAGAGATTGGGTTGTAATTGATTTCAGTTCTTCGTGCTGACTACAGTAATTCAATCTGATTCAAATCACATCTTACTTCCTGCTTCCGCTAAAGAAAGATCTCAGGACATCCCATTACCAATAATGGGAAAGTGCGAGAACGACACTATGACAATAGAGTTTATCATCCAAAACTGGCTCCCACAGGAGATATCGCTTGGATTAGATCAAGCGATATCTACACTGTAGATATCGCTGCAATGAAATTACATCACAATGCTTTGCAGACCATTGTGACGTCACTGGTTACCATGACATCACAATCAAATGACATCACTAATGGCTCTGCTACTGAAGCTGATAGCAGTACTTTTTACACTGAAGACCCTGCTAATTACTGTCTACAAATTGAAAAAGTTGGAAGAATGAGGTTGGATGATGAATAAAATCTCACCCTCGTGTCTTTTGATATCAAATATATCAACACTCGTTGATAAAAGTGGCAAAAATCCTCGGCAAGCCTCGGAATTTTTCCACTTTTAGCAACTCGTGTTGATATATTTGATATCAAAAGGCACTCGGGTGAGATTCTCCAATTATCATCCAAAACTGGCTCCCACAGGAGATATCACTTGGATTATATCGCTGCAATGAAATTACATCACAATGCTTTGCAGACCATTGTGACGTCACTGGTTACCATGACGTCACAATCAAATGACATCACTAATGGCTCTGCTACTGAAGCTGATAGCAGTACTTTTTACACTGAAGACCCTGCTAATTACTGTCTACAAATTGAAAAAGTTGGAAGAATGATGTTGGATGATAAATAAAATCTCCCCCTCGTGTCTTTTGATATCAAATATATCAACACTCGTTGATAAAAGTGGCAAAAATCCTCGGCAAGCCTCGAAATTTTTCCACTTTTAGCAACTCGTGTTGATATATTTGATATCAAAAGGCACTCGGGTGAGATTCTCTATATATATATATATGTAACATTATCGCATTGATTTATATTTTAACGCGGTTGTGACAAGGCAACACATATACTGATAAATGAAAACTTACAACATACAATGAGATGTCACCTAAAACATTTGATCATGTGAGATGCAAATAGAACCTGTCGTATTTACTATTCTACTCACAGTTGGTTTTGGTGTCGGCGTCTGAAAATAAAGAGATTGGGTTGTAATTGATTTCAGTTCTTCGTGCTGACTACAGTAATTCAATCTTATTCAAATCACATCTTAGTTCCCGCTTCCGCTAAACAAAGATCTCAGGACATCCCATTACCAATAATGGGAAAGTGCAAGAACGACACCATGTAACATTGTCACATTGATTTATATTTTAATGCCATTGCGACAAGGCAAAACATGTATTGATATATGAAAACCTACAACATACAATGAGATGTCACCTAAAACATTTGATCATGTGAGATGCAAATAGAACCTGTTGTATTTACTATTCTACTCACAGTTGGTTTTGGTGTCGGCGTCTGAAAATAAAGAGATTGGGTTGTAATTGATTTCAGTTCTTCGTGCTGACTACAGTAATTCAATCTTATTCAAATCACATCTTAGTTCCTGCTTCCGCTAAACAAAGATCTCAGGACATCCCATTACCAATAATGGGAAAGTGCGAGAACGACACTATGACAATAGAGTTTATCATCCAAAACTGGCTCCCACAGGAGATATCGCTTGGATTAAATCAAGCGATATCTACACTGTAGCTATCGCTGCAATGAAATTACATCACAATGCTTTGCAGACCATTGTGACGTCACTGGTTACCATGACGTCACAATCAAATGACATCACTAATGGCTCTGCTACTGAAGCTGATAGCAGTACTTTTTACACTGGAGACCCTGCTAATTACTGTCTACAAATTGAAAAAGTTGGAAGAATGAGGTTGGATGATGAATAAAATCTCACCCTCGTGTCTTTTGATATCAAATATATCAACACTCGTTGATAAAAGTGGCAAAAATCCTCGGCAAGCCTCGGAATTTTTCCACTTTTATCAACTCGTGTTGATATATTTGATATCAAAAGGCACTCGGGTGAGATTCTCTCTATATATATATATATGTAACATTATCACATTGATTTATATTTTAACGCGGTTGCGACAAGGCAACACATATCTTGATATATGAAAACCTACAACATACAATGAGATGTCACCTAAAACATTTGATCATGTGAGATGCAAATAGAACCTGTCGTATTTACTATTCTACTCACAGTTGGTTTTGGTGTCGGCGTCTAAAAATAAAGAAATTTGGTTGTAATTGATTTCAGTTCTTCGTGCTGACTACAGTAATTCAATCTTATTCAAATCACATCTTAGTTCCCGCTTCCGCTAAACAAAGATCTCAGGACATCCCATTACCAATAATGGGAAAGTGCAAGAACGACACCATGTAACATTGTCACATTGATTTATATTTTAATACCATTGCGATAAGGCAAAACATGTATTGATATATGAAAACCTACAACATACAATGAGATGTCACCTAAAACATTTGATCATGTGAGATGCAAATAGAACCTGTTGTATTTACTATTCTACTCACAGTTGGTTTTGGTGTCGGCGTCTGAAAATAAAGAGATTGGGTTGTAATTGATTTCAGTTCTTCGTGCTGACTACAGTAATTCAATCTTATTCAAATCACATCTTAGTTCCTGCTTCCGCTAAACAAAGATCTCAGGACATCCCATTACCAATAATGGGAAAGTGCGAGAACGACACTATGTAACATTGTCACATTGATTTATATTTTAATGCCATTGCGACAAGGCAAAACATGTATTGATCAATGAAAACCTACAACATACAATGAGATGTCACCTAAAACATTTGATCATGTGAGATGTAAATAGAACCTGTCGTATTTACTATTCTACTCACAGTTGGTTTTGGTGTCGGCTTCTGAAAATAAAAAGATTGGGTTGTAATTGATTTCAGTTCTTCGTGCTGACTACAGTAATTCAATCTTATTCAAATCACATCTTAGTTCCCGCTTCCGCTAAACAAAGATCTCAGGACATCCCATTACCAATAATGGGAAAGTGCGAGAACGACACTATGACAATAGAGTATATATGTAACATTGTGGCATTGATTTATATTTTAACGCTGTTGCGACAGGGCAACAAATATATTGATATATGAAAACCTACAGCATACAATGAGATGTCACCTAAAACATTTGATCATGTGAGATGTAAATAGAACCTGTCGTATTTACTATTCTACTCACAGTTGGTTTTGGTGTCGGCGTCTGAAAATAAAAAGATTGGGTTGTAATTGATTTCAGTTCTTCATGCTGACTACAGTAATTCAATCTTATTCAAATCACATCTTAGTTCCCGCTTCCGCTAAACAAAGATCTCAAGACATCCCATTACCAATAATGGGAAAGTGCGAGAACGACACTATGACAATAGAGTTTATCATCCAAAACTGGCTCCCACAGGAGATATCGCTTGGATTAGATCAAGCGATATCTACACTGTAGCTATCGCTGCAATGAAATTACATCACAATGCTTTGCAGACCATTGTGACGTCACTGGTTACCATGACGTCACAATCAAATGACATCACTAATGGCTCTGCTACTGAAGCTGATAGCAGTACTTTTTACACTGAAGATCCTGCTAATTACTGTCTACAAATTGAAAAAGTTGGAAGAATGAGGTTGGATGATAAATAAAATCTCACCCTCGTGTCTTTTGATATCAAATATATCAACACTCGTTGATAAAAGTGGCAAAAATCCTCGGCAAGCCTCGAAATTTTTCCACTTTTAGCAACTCGTGTTGATATATTTGATATCAAAAGGCACTCGGGTGAGATTCTCTATATATATATATGTAACATTATCGCATTGATTTATATTTTAACGAGGTTGTGACAAGGCAACACATATGTTGATCAATGAAAACCTACAACATACAATGAGATGTCACCTAAAACATTTGATCATGTGAGATGCAAATAGAACCTGTCGTATTTACTATTCTACTCACAGTTGGTTTTGGTGTCGGCGTCTAAAAATAAAGAAATTTGGTTGTAATTGATTTCAGTTCTTCGTGCTGACTACAGTAATTCAATCTTATTCAAATCACATCTTAGTTCCTGCTTCCGCTAAACAAAGATCTCAAGACATACCATTACCAATAATGGGAAAGTGAGAGTACGATACTATGACAATAGAGTTTATCATCCAAAACTGGCTCCCACAGGAGATATCGCTTGGATTATATCGCTGCAATGAAATTACATCACAATGCTTTGCAGACCATTGTGACGTCACTGGTTACCATGACATCACAATCAAATGACATCACTATTGGCTCTGCTACTGAAGCTGATAGCAGTACTTTTTACACTGAAGATCCTGCTAATTACTGTCTACAAATTGAAAAAGTTGGAAGAATGAAGTTGGATGATCAATAAAATCTCACCCTCGTGTCTTTTGATATCAAACATATCAACACTCGTTGATAAAAGTGGCAAAAATCCTCGGCAAGCCTCGGAATTTTTCCACTTTTAGCAACTCGTGTTGATATATTTGATATCAAAAGGCACTCGGGTGAGATTCTCTCTATATATATATGTAACATTATCGCATTGATTTATATTTTAACGCGGTTGTGACAAGGCAACACATATGTTGATATATGAAAACCTACAACATACAATGAGATGTCACCTAAAACATTTGATCATGTGAGATGCAAATAGAACTTGTCGTATTTACTATTCTACTCACAGTTGGTTTTGGTGTCGGCGTCTGAAAATAAAGAGATTGGGTTGTAATTGATTTCAGTTCTTCTTGCTGACTACAGTAATTCAATCTTATTCAAATCATGTCTTAGTTCCCGCTTCCGCTAAACAAAGATCTCAGGACATCCCATTACCAATAATGGGAAAGTGCGAGAACGACACTATGACAATAGAGTTTATCATCCAAAACTGGCTCCCACAGGAGATATCGCTTGGAATAGATCAAGCGATATCTACACTGTAGCTATCGCTGCAATGAAATTACATCACAATGCTTTGCAGACCATTGTGACGTCACTGGTTACCATGACGTCACAATCAAATGACATCACTAATGGCTCTGCTACTGAAGCTGATAGCAGTACTTTTTACACTGAAGACCCTGCTAATTACTGTCTACAAATTGAAAAAGTTGGAAGAATGAGGTTGGATGATAAATAAAATCTCACCCTCGTGTCTTTTGATATCAAATATATCAACACTCGTTGATAAAAGTGGCAAAAATCCTCGGCAAGCCTCGAAATTTTTCCACTTTTATCAACTCGTGTTGATATATTTGATATCAAAAGGCACTCGGGTGAGATTCTCTATATATATATATATATGTAACATTATCGCATTGATTTATATTTGAACGCGGTTGCGACAAGGCAACACATATGTTGATCAATGAAAACCTACAACATACAATGAGATGTCACCTAAAACATTTGATCATGTGAGATGCAAATAGAACCTGTCGTATTTACTATTCTACTCACAGTTGGTTTTGGTGTCGGCGTCTAAAAATAAAGAAATTTGGTTGTAATTGATTTCAGTTCTTCGTGCTGACTACAGTAATTCAATCTTATTCAAATCACATCTTAGTTCCTGCTTCCGCTAAACAAAGATCTCAAGACATACCATTACCAATAATGGGAAAGTGAGAGAACGATACTATGACAATAGAGTTTATCATCCAAAACTGGCTCCCACAGGAGATATTGCTTGGAATAGATCAAGCGATATCTACACTGTAGAATCGCTGCAATGAAATTACATCACAATGCTTTGCAGACCATTGTGACGTCACTGGTTACCATGACGTCACAATCAAATGACATCACTAATGGCTCTGCTACTGAAGCTGATAGCAGTACTTTTTACACTGAAGACCCTGCTAATTACTGTCTACAAATTGAAAAAGTTGGAAGAATGAGGTTGGATGATAAATAAAATCTCACCCTCGTGTCTTTTGATATCAAATATATCAACACTCGTTGATAAAAGTGGCAAAAATCCTCGGCAAGCCTCGAAATTTTTCCACTTTTAGCAACTCGTGTTGATATATTTGATATCAAAAGGCACTCGGGTGAGATTCTCTATATATATATATATATGTAACATTATCGCATTGATTTATATTTTAACGCGGTTGCGACAAGGCAACACATATGTTGATCAATGAAAACCTACAACATACAATGAGATGTCACCTAAAACATTTGATCATGTGAGATGCAAATAGAACCTGTCGTATTTACTATTCTACTCACAGTTGGTTTTGGTGTCGGCGTCTAAAAATAAAGAAATTTGGTTGTAATTGATTTCAGTTCTTCGTGCTGACTACAGTAATTCAATCTTATTCAAATCACATCTTAGTTCCTGCTTCCGCTAAACAAAGATCTCAAGACATACCATTACCAATAATGGGAAAGTGAGAGAACGATACTATGACAATAGAGTTTATCATCCAAAACTGGCTCCCACAGGAGATATTGCTTGGAATAGATCAAGCGATATCTACACTGTAGAATCGCTGCAATGAAATTACATCACAATGCTTTGCAGACCATTGTGACGTCACTGGTTACCATGACATCACAATCAAATGACATCACTAATGGCTCTGCTACTGAAGCTGAAAGCAGTACTTTTTACACTGAAGACCCTGCTAATTACTGTCTACAAATTGAAAAAGTTGGAAGAATGATGTTGGATGATAAATAAAGTCTCACCCTCGTGTCTTTTGATATCAAATATATCAACACTCGTTGATAAAAGTGGCAAAAATCCTCGGCAAGCCTCGGAATTTTTCCACTTTTAGCAACTCGTGTTGATATATTTGATATCAAAAGGCACTCGGGTGAGATTCTCTATATATATATATGTAACATTATCGCATTGATTTATATTTTAACGCGATGCGACAAGGCAACACATATGTTGATATATGAAAACCTACAACATACAATGAGATGTCACCTAAAACATTTGATCATGTGAGATGCAAATAGAACCTGTCGTATTTACTATTCTACTCACAGTTGGTTTTGGTGTCGGCGTCTAAAAATAAAGATATTTGGTTGTAATTGATTTCAGTTCTTCTTGCTGACTACAGTAATTCAATCTTATTCAAATCACATCTTAGTTCCCGCTTCCGCTAAACAAAGATCTCAGGACATCCCATTACCAATAATGGGAAAGTGCAAGAACGACACTATTTAACATTGTCACATTGATTTATATTTTAATGCCATTGCGAAAAGGCAAAACATGTATTGATATATGAAAACCTACAACATACAATGAGATGTCACCTAAAACATTTGATCATGTGAGATGCAAATAGAACCATGCGTATTTACTATTCTACTCACAGTTGGTTTTGGTGTCGGCGTCTGAAAATAAAGAGATTGGGTTGTAATTGATTTCAGTTCTTCTTGCTGACTACAGTAATTCAATCTTATTCAAATCATGTCTTAGTTCCCGCTTCCGCTAAACAAAGATCTCAGGACATCCCATTACCAATAATGGGAAAGTGCGAGAATGATACTATGACAATAGAGTTTATCATCCAAAACTGGCTCCCACAGGAGATATCGCTTGGAATAGATCAAGCGATTTCTACACTGTAGAATCGCTGCAATGAAATTACATCACAATGCTTTGCAGACCATTGTGACGTCACTGGTTACCATGACGTCACAATCAAATGACATCACTAATGGCTCTGCTACTGAAGCTGATAGCAGTACTTTTTACACTGAAGATCCTGCTAATTACTGTCTACAAATTGAAAAAGTTGGAAGAATGATGTTGGATGATAAATAAAATCTCACCCTCGTGTCTTTTGATATCAAATATATCAACACTTGTTGATAAAAGTGGCAAAAATCCTCGGCAAGCCTCGAAATTTTTCCACTTTTATCAACTCGTGTTGATATATTTGATATCAAAAGGCACTCGGGTGAGATTCTCTATATATATATGTAACATTATCGCATTGATTTATATTTTAACGCGGTTGCGACAAGGCAACACATATGTTGATATATGAAAACCTACAACATACAATGAGATGTCACCTAAAACATTTGATCATGTGAGATGCAAATAGAACCTGTCGTATTTACTATTCTACTCACAGTTGGTTTTGGTGTCGGCGTCTGAAAATAAAGAGATTGGGTTGTAATTGATTTCAGTTCTTCGTGCTGACTACAGTAATTCAATCTTATTCAAATCACATCTTAGTTCCCGCTTCCGCTAAACAAAGATCTCAGGACATCCCATTACCAATAATGGGAAAGTGCGAGAACGATACTATGACAATAGAGTTGATGTGTAACATTGTGGCATTGATTTATATTTTAACACGGTTGCGACAAGGGAACACAGATATTGATCAATGAAAACCTACAACATACAATGAGATGTCACCTAAAACATTTGATCATGTGAGCTGCAAATAGAACCTGTCGTATTTACTATTCTACTCACAGTTGGTTTTGGTGTCGGCGTCTAAAAATAAAGATATTCGGTTGTAATTGATTTCAGTTCTTCGTGCTGACTACAGTAATTCAATCTTATTCAAATCACATCTTAGTTCCCGCTTCCACTACACAAAGATCTCAGGACATCCCATTACCAATAATGGGAAAGTGCGAGAACGACACTATGACAGTAGAGTATATATGTAACATTGTAGCTCGATTTATATTTTAACGCGGTTGCGAAAAGGCAACACATATATTGATATATGAAAACCTACAACATACAATGAGATGTCACCTAAAACATATTAATCATGTGAGATGTAAATAGAACCTGTCGTATTTACTATCCTACTCACAGTTGGTTTTGGTGTTGGCGTCTGAAAATAAAGAGATTGGCTTGTAATTGATTTCAGTTCTTCAAGCTGACTACAGTAATTCAATCTTATTCAAATCATGTCTTAGTTCCCGCTTCCGCTAAACAAAGATCTCAGGACATCCCATTACCAATAAAGGGAAAGTGCAAGAATAACACTATGACAATAGAGTATATATGTAACATTGTGGCATTGATTTATATTTTAACGAGGTTGTGACAAGGCAACACATATGTTGATCAATGAAAACCTACAACATACAATGAGATGTCACCTAAAACATTTGATCATGTGAGATGCAAATAGAACCTGTCGTATTTACTATTCTACTCACAGTTGGTTTTGGTGTCGGCGTCTAAAAATAAAGAAATTTGGTTGTAATTGATTTCAGTTCTTCGTGCTGACTACAGTAATTCAATCTTATTCAAATCACATCTTAGTTCCCGCTTCCGCTAAACAAAGATCTCAAGACATCCCATTACCAATAATGGGAAAGTGCGAGAACGACACTATGACAATAGAGTTTATCATCCAAAACTGGCTCCCACAGGAGATATCGCTTGGATTAGATCAAGCGATATCTACACTGTAGCTATCGCTGCAATGAAATTACATCACAATGCTTTGCAGACCATTGTGACGTCACTGGTTACCATGACGTCACAATCAAATGACATCACTAATGGCTCTGCTACTGAAGCTGATAGCAGTACTTTTTACACTGAAGATCCTGCTAATTACTGTCTACAAATTGAAAAAGTTGGAAGAATGAGGTTGGATGATAAATAAAATCTCACCCTCGTGTCTTTTGATATCAAATATATCAACACTCGTTGATAAAAGTGGCAAAAATCCTCGGCAAGCCTCGAAATTTTTCCACTTTTAGCAACTCGTGTTGATATATTTGATATCAAAAGGCACTCGGGTGAGATTCTCTATATATATATATGTAACATTATCGCATTGATTTATATTTTAACGAGGTTGTGACAAGGCAACACATATGTTGATCAATGAAAACCTACAACATACAATGAGATGTCACCTAAAACATTTGATCATGTGAGATGCAAATAGAACCTGTCGTATTTACTATTCTACTCACAGTTGGTTTTGGTGTCGGCGTCTAAAAATAAAGAAATTTGGTTGTAATTGATTTCAGTTCTTCGTGCTGACTACAGTAATTCAATCTTATTCAAATCACATCTTAGTTCCTGCTTCCGCTAAACAAAGATCTCAAGACATACCATTACCAATAATGGGAAAGTGAGAGTACGATACTATGACAATAGAGTTTATCATCCAAAACTGGCTCCCACAGGAGATATCGCTTGGATTATATCGCTGCAATGAAATTACATCACAATGCTTTGCAGACCATTGTGACGTCACTGGTTACCATGACATCACAATCAAATGACATCACTATTGGCTCTGCTACTGAAGCTGATAGCAGTACTTTTTACACTGAAGATCCTGCTAATTACTGTCTACAAATTGAAAAAGTTGGAAGAATGAAGTTGGATGATCAATAAAATCTCACCCTCGTGTCTTTTGATATCAAACATATCAACACTCGTTGATAAAAGTGGCAAAAATCCTCGGCAAGCCTCGGAATTTTTCCACTTTTAGCAACTCGTGTTGATATATTTGATATCAAAAGGCACTCGGGTGAGATTCTCTCTATATATATATGTAACATTATCGCATTGATTTATATTTTAACGCGGTTGTGACAAGGCAACACATATGTTGATATATGAAAACCTACAACATACAATGAGATGTCACCTAAAACATTTGATCATGTGAGATGCAAATAGAACTTGTCGTATTTACTATTCTACTCACAGTTGGTTTTGGTGTCGGCGTCTGAAAATAAAGAGATTGGGTTGTAATTGATTTCAGTTCTTCTTGCTGACTACAGTAATTCAATCTGATTCAAATCATGTCTTAGTTCCCGCTTCCGCTAAACAAAGATCTCAGGACATCCCATTACCAATAATGGGAAAGTGCGAGAACGACACTATGACAATAGAGTTTATCATCCAAAACTGGCTCCCACAGGAGATATCGCTTGGAATAGATCAAGCGATATCTACACTGTAGCTATCGCTGCAATGAAATTACATCACAATGCTTTGCAGACCATTGTGACGTCACTGGTTACCATGACGTCACAATCAAATGACATCACTAATGGCTCTGCTACTGAAGCTGATAGCAGTACTTTTTACACTGAAGACCCTGCTAATTACTGTCTACAAATTGAAAAAGTTGGAAGAATGAGGTTGGATGATAAATAAAATCTCACCCTCGTGTCTTTTGATATCAAATATATCAACACTCGTTGATAAAAGTGGCAAAAATCCTCGGCAAGCCTCGAAATTTTTCCACTTTTAGCAACTCGTGTTGATATATTTGATATCAAAAGGCACTCGGGTGAGATTCTCTATAAATATATATATATGTAACATTATCGCATTGATTTATATTTTAACGCGGTTGCGACAAGGCAACACATATGTTGATCAATGAAAACCTACAACATACAATGAGATGTCACCTAAAACATTTGATCATGTGAGATGCAAATAGAACCTGTCGTATTTACTATTCTACTCACAGTTGGTTTTGGTGTCGGCGTCTAAAAATAAAGAAATTTGGTTGTAATTGATTTCAGTTCTTCGTGCTGACTACAGTAATTCAATCTTATTCAAATCACATCTTAGTTCCTGCTTCCGCTAAACAAAGATCTCAAGACATACCATTACCAATAATGGGAAAGTGAGAGAACGATACTATGACAATAGAGTTTATCATCCAAAACTGGCTCCCACAGGAGATATTGCTTGGAATAGATCAAGCGATATCTACACTGTAGAATCGCTGCAATGAAATTACATCACAATGCTTTGCAGACCATTGTGACGTCACTGGTTACCATGACGTCACAATCAAATGACATCACTAATGGCTCTGCTACTGAAGCTGATAGCAGTACTTTTTACACTGAAGACCCTGCTAATTACTGTCTACAAATTGAAAAAGTTGGAAGAATGAGGTTGGATGATAAATAAAATCTCACCCTCGTGTCTTTTGATATCAAATATATCAACACTCGTTGATAAAAGTGGCAAAAATCCTCGGCAAGCCTCGAAATTTTTCCACTTTTAGCAACTCGTGTTGATATATTTGATATCAAAAGGCACTCGGGTGAGATTCTCTATATATATATATATATGTAACATTATCGCATTGATTTATATTTTAACGCGGTTGCGACAAGGCAACACATATGTTGATCAATGAAAACCTACAACATACAATGAGATGTCACCTAAAACATTTGATCATGTGAGATGCAAATAGAACCTGTCGTATTTACTATTCTACTCACAGTTGGTTTTGGTGTCGGCGTCTAAAAATAAAGAAATTTGGTTGTAATTGATTTCAGTTCTTCGTGCTGACTACAGTAATTCAATCTTATTCAAATCACATCTTAGTTCCTGCTTCCGCTAAACAAAGATCTCAAGACATACCATTACCAATAATGGGAAAGTGAGAGAACGATACTATGACAATAGAGTTTATCATCCAAAACTGGCTCCCACAGGAGATATTGCTTGGAATAGATCAAGCGATATCTACACTGTAGAATCGCTGCAATGAAATTACATCACAATGCTTTGCAGACCATTGTGACGTCACTGGTTACCATGACATCACAATCAAATGACATCACTAATGGCTCTGCTACTGAAGCTGAAAGCAGTACTTTTTACACTGAAGACCCTGCTAATTACTGTCTACAAATTGAAAAAGTTGGAAGAATGATGTTGGATGATAAATAAAATCTCACCCTCGTGTCTTTTGATATCAAATATATCAACACTCGTTGATAAAAGTGGCAAAAATCCTCGGCAAGCCTCGAAATTTTTCCACTTTTAGCAACTCGTGTTGATATATTTGATATCAAAAGGCACTCGGGTGAGATTCTCTATATATATATATATATGTAACATTATCGCATTGATTTATATTTTAACGCGGTTGCGACAAGGCAACACATATGTTGATCAATGAAAACCTACAACATACAATGAGATGTCACCTAAAACATTTGATCATGTGAGATGCAAATAGAACCTGTCGTATTTACTATTCTACTCACAGTTGGTTTTGGTGTCGGCGTCTAAAAATAAAGAAATTTGGTTGTAATTGATTTCAGTTCTTCGTGCTGACTACAGTAATTCAATCTTATTCAAATCACATCTTAGTTCCTGCTTCCGCTAAACAAAGATCTCAAGACATACCATTACCAATAATGGGAAAGTGAGAGTACGATACTATGACAATAGAGTTTATCATCCAAAACTGGCTCCCACAGGAGATATCGCTTGGATTATATCGCTGCAATGAAATTACATCACAATGCTTTGCAGACCATTGTGACGTCACTGGTTACCATGACATCACAATCAAATGACATCACTATTGGCTCTGCTACTGAAGCTGATAGCAGTACTTTTTACACTGAAGATCCTGCTAATTACTGTCTACAAATTGAAAAAGTTGGAAGAATGAAGTTGGATGATCAATAAAATCTCACCCTCGTGTCTTTTAATATCAAACATATCAACACTCGTTGATAAAAGTGGCAAAAATCCTCGGCAACCCTCGGAATTTTTCCACTTTTAGCAACTCGTGTTGATATATTTGATATCAAAAGGCACTCGGGTGAGATTCTCTCTATATATATATGTAACATTATCGCATTGATTTATATTTTAACGCGGTTGTGACAAGGCAACACATATGTTGATATATGAAAACCTACAACATACAATGAGATGTCACCTAAAACATTTGATCATGTGAGATGCAAATAGAACTTGTCGTATTTACTATTCTACTCACAGTTGGTTTTGGTGTCGGCGTCTGAAAATAAAGAGATTGGGTTGTAATTGATTTCAGTTCTTCTTGCTGACTACAGTAATTCAATCTTATTCAAATCATGTCTTAGTTCCCGCTTCCGCTAAACAAAGATCTCAGGACATCCCATTACCAATAATGGGAAAGTGCGAGAACGACACTATGACAATAGAGTTTATCATCCAAAACTGGCTCCCACAGGAGATATCGCTTGGAATAGATCAAGCGATATCTACACTGTAGCTATCGCTGCAATGAAATTACATCACAATGCTTTGCAGACCATTGTGACGTCACTGGTTACCATGACGTCACAATCAAATGACATCACTAATGGCTCTGCTACTGAAGCTGATAGCAGTACTTTTTACACTGAAGACCCTGCTAATTACTGTCTACAAATTGAAAAAGTTGGAAGAATGAGGTTGGATGATAAATAAAATCTCACCCTCGTGTCTTTTGATATCAAATATATCAACACTCGTTGATAAAAGTGGCAAAAATCCTCGGCAAGCCTCGAAATTTTTCCACTTTTAGCAACTCGTGTTGATATATTTGATATCAAAAGGCACTCGGGTGAGATTCTCTATATATATATATATATGTAACATTATCGCATTGATTTATATTTTAACGCGGTTGCGACAAGGCAACACATATGTTGATCAATGAAAACCTACAACATACAATGAGATGTCACCTAAAACATTTGATCATGTGAGATGCAAATAGAACCTGTCGTATTTACTATTCTACTCACAGTTGGTTTTGGTGTCGGCGTCTAAAAATAAAGAAATTTGGTTGTAATTGATTTCAGTTCTTCGTGCTGACTACAGTAATTCAATCTTATTCAAATCACATCTTAGTTCCTGCTTCCGCTAAACAAAGATCTCAAGACATACCATTACCAATAATGGGAAAGTGAGAGAACGATACTATGACAATAGAGTTTATCATCCAAAACTGGCTCCCACAGGAGATATTGCTTGGAATAGATCAAGCGATATCTACACTGTAGAATCGCTGCAATGAAATTACATCACAATGCTTTGCAGACCATTGTGACGTCACTGGTTACCATGACGTCACAATCAAATGACATCACTAATGGCTCTGCTACTGAAGCTGATAGCAGTACTTTTTACACTGAAGACCCTGCTAATTACTGTCTACAAATTGAAAAAGTTGGAAGAATGAGGTTGGATGATAAATAAAATCTCACCCTCGTGTCTTTTGATATCAAATATATCAACACTCGTTGATAAAAGTGGCAAAAATCCTCGGCAAGCCTCGAAATTTTTCCACTTTTAGCAACTCGTGTTGATATATTTGATATCAAAAGGCACTCGGGTGAGATTCTCTATATATATATATATATGTAACATTATCGCATTGATTTATATTTTAACGCGGTTGCGACAAGGCAACACATATGTTGATCAATGAAAACCTACAACATACAATGAGATGTCACCTAAAACATTTGATCATGTGAGATGCAAATAGAACCTGTCGTATTTACTATTCTACTCACAGTTGGTTTTGGTGTCGGCGTCTAAAAATAAAGAAATTTGGTTGTAATTGATTTCAGTTCTTCGTGCTGACTACAGTAATTCAATCTTATTCAAATCACATCTTAGTTCCTGCTTCCGCTAAACAAAGATCTCAAGACATACCATTACCAATAATGGGAAAGTGAGAGAACGATACTATGACAATAGAGTTTATCATCCAAAACTGGCTCCCACAGGAGATATTGCTTGGAATAGATCAAGCGATATCTACACTGTAGAATCGCTGCAATGAAATTACATCACAATGCTTTGCAGACCATTGTGACGTCACTGGTTACCATGACATCACAATCAAATGACATCACTAATGGCTCTGCTACTGAAGCTGAAAGCAGTACTTTTTACACTGAAGACCCTGCTAATTACTGTCTACAAATTGAAAAAGTTGGAAGAATGATGTTGGATGATAAATAAAGTCTCACCCTCGTGTCTTTTGATATCAAATATATCAACACTCGTTGATAAAAGTGGCAAAAATCCTCGGCAAGCCTTGGAATTTTTCCACTTTTAGCAACTCGTGTTGATATATTTGATATCAAAAGGCACTCGGGTGAGATTCTCTATATATATATATGTAACATTATCGCATTGATTTATATTTTAACGCGATGCGACAAGGCAACACATATGTTGATATATGAAAACCTACAACATACAATGAGATGTCACCTAAAACATTTGATCATGTGAGATGCAAATAGAACCTGTCGTATTTACTATTCTACTCACAGTTGGTTTTGGTGTCGGCGTCTAAAAATAAAGATATTTGGTTGTAATTGATTTCAGTTCTTCTTGCTGACTACAGTAATTCAATCTTATTCAAATCACATCTTAGTTCCCGCTTCCGCTAAACAAAGATCTCAGGACATCCCATTACCAATAATGGGAAAGTGCAAGAACGACACTATGTAACATTGTCACATTGATTTATATTTTAATGCCATTGCGAAAAGGCAAAACATGTATTGATATATGAAAACCTACAACATACAATGAGATGTCACCTAAAACATTTGATCATGTGAGATGCAAATAGAACCATGCGTATTTACTATTCTACTCACAGTTGGTTTTGGTGTCGGCGTCTGAAAATAAAGAGATTGGGTTGTAATTGATTTCAGTTCTTCTTGCTGACTACAGTAATTCAATCTTATTCAAATCATGTCTTAGTTCCCGCTTCCGCTAAACAAAGATCTCAGGACATCCCATTACCAATAATGGGAAAGTGCGAGAATGATACTATGACAATAGAGTTTATCATCCAAAACTGGCTCCCACAGGAGATATCGCTTGGAATAGATCAAGCGATTTCTACACTGTAGAATCGCTGCAATGAAATTACATCACAATGCTTTGCAGACCATTGTGACGTCACTGGTTACCATGACGTCACAATCAAATGACATCACTAATGGCTCTGCTACTGAAGCTGATAGCAGTACTTTTTACACTGAAGATCCTGCTAATTACTGTCTACAAATTGAAAAAGTTGGAAGAATGATGTTGGATGATAAATAAAATCTCACCCTCGTGTCTTTTGATATCAAATATATCAACACTCGTTGATAAAAGTGGCAAAAATCCTCGGCAAGCCTCGAAATTTTTCCACTTTTAGCAACTCGTGTTGATATATTTGATATCAAAAGGCACTCGGGTGAGATTCTCTATATATATATGTAACATTATCGCATTGATTTATATTTTAACGCGGTTGCGACAAGGCAACACATATGTTGATATATGAAAACCTACAACATACAATGAGATGTCACCTAAAACATTTGATCATGTGAGATGCAAATAGAACCTGTCGTATTTACTATTCTACTCACAGTTGGTTTTGGTGTCGGCGTCTGAAAATAAAGAGATTGGGTTGTAATTGATTTCAGTTCTTCGTGCTGACTACAGTAATTCAATCTTATTCAAATCACATCTTAGTTCCCGCTTCCGCTAAACAAAGATCTCAGGACATCCCATTACCAATAATGGGAAAGTCCAAGAACGACACTATGTAACATTGTGGCATTGATTTATATTTTAATGCGGTTGCGACAAGGCAAAACATGAATTGATCAATGAAAACCTACAACATACAATGAGATGTCACCTAAAACATTTGATCATGTGAGCTGCAAATAGAACCTGTCGTATTTACTATTCTACTCACAGTTGGTTTTGGTGTTGGCGTCTGAAAATAAAGAGATTGGGTTGTAATTGATTTCAGTTCTTCGTGCTGACTACAGTAATTCAATCTTATTCAAATCACATCTTAGTTCCCGCTTCCATTACACAAAGATCTCAGGACATCCCATTACCAATAATGGGAAAGTGCGAGAACGATACTATGACAATAGAGTTTATGTGTAACATTGTGGCATTGATTTATATTTTAACACGGTTGCGACAAGGGAACACAGATATTGATCAATGAAAACCTACAACATACAATGAGATGTCACCTAAAACATTTGATCATGTGAGATGCAAATAGAACCTGTCGTATTTACTATTCTACTCACAGTTGGTTTTGGTGTCGGCGTCTAAAAATAAAGATATTGGGTTGTAATTGATTTCAGTTCTTCGTGCTGACTACAGTAATTCAATCTTATTCAAATCACATCTTAGTTCCCGCTTCCACTACACAAAGATCTCAGGACATCCCATTACCAATAATGGGAAAGTGCGAGAACGACACTATGACAGTAGAGTATATATGTAACATTGTGGCTCGATTTATATTTTAACGCGGTTGCGAAAAGGCAACACATATATTGATATATGAAAACCTACAACATACAATGAGATGTCACCTAAAACATATTAATCATGTGAGATGTAAATAGAACCTGTCGTATTTACTATCCTACTCACAGTTGGTTTTGGTGTTGGCGTCTGAAAATAAAGAGATTGGCTTGTAATTGATTTCAGTTCTTCAAGCTGACTACAGTAATTCAATCTTATTCAAATCATGTCTTAGTTCCCGCTTCCGCTAAACAAAGATCTCAGGACATCCCATTACCAATAATGGGAAAGTGCAAGAATAACACTATGACAATAGAGTATATATGTAACATTGTGGCATTGATTTATATTTTAACGCGGTTGCGACAAGGCAACACAGATATTGATCAATGAAAACCTACAACATACAATGAGATGTCACCTAAAACATTTGATCATGTGAGATGCAAATAGAACCTGTGTATTTTTTCCAATACGTTAGGTTGTTGATAAGTACAGTTGTCCCAAATATAACAACAATAATCATATATTGGTAAAACAAATGATTTGTGCATAGTTTCTAAGGTAGTTCGGGATAGACGATGTTTATAACTCCTTAAACAGTTAACCAGAGGACAACATTTCTGTACCATTCATGTATAAGTTAGGTTTGCGACTAGGGTTTACTTTACGGGTAAATTGAATAGATTCAGTTTTTTTGGTGAGGTGTGAGCTGTAAGGTCCTTAGGGTTTATTCAAGCAAGTGTGGTCATATCATTTAATATATAATAGTGACATACAATGATGATAATGATGCAAGAGGAGTTGCCATTTTGTTTTGTAATACTTTAGAAATAAAAATCCATAGATTTAAACAAGATATTATTGGAAACTATATAATAGCAGATATCACAATAGAGGGCATAAGGTTAACTTTGACTAATATTTATAGGCCAAATCAAGATGAACCTGCTTTTTACAATACTTCGTTCAATAATATTGACGAATTTGAAAACGAATCAATGGTTATATGCGGAGATTGGAACTTGGTTCTAAATCCAGATGCCGATTTGGAAAATTATAAACATATCAACAATTCCAAAGCAAGAAACTAAGTACTTGAAAAAAAAGAAAGCTTTGATCTAATTGATATTAGGAGAGAAAAAAATCTAGATGCAAAGAAATACACATGGTGGAAGAAAAAGCCTAAACAACAAGCTAGACTTGACTTCTTTTTGGTCTCACAAGGCATTGCAAATATAACTATTGACTCTACAATTATACCAGGATACAAATCTGATCACTCAGCAATAACTTTTACTTTTTCAAATACACTTAGCAAAGAAAGAGGTAGGGGCTACTGGAAGTTGAATACTAGTACATCTTTACTGTTTAACAATGAATAATTAAACTTTCATTGTGTTCATGGAAATTCCTGCATTCTGTTTAGTTGAATTGGTCACGTGTTATTGCATTCATTTCCCAATTTATGTAAAAAAATTAAGCCACGCCCACCGCGGCGAACTACTTTTATTACTGCGGAATGTCGGGGAATCCCAATATTACAGTCGAGGGAATTCCCTTTCTGCTCACGTGTATCCTCATGCACAGGACATTTAGCGACTTTCATGCATATTCATTGTCCAAACTACCCTTTGAAACCGAAGGCCGAGAATGAATGAAACAGCAAACGTGCAGGCTCGGTCGCCTGTTTTTTTCCTGCTCGCCTCGGTTCAACTTTCATGTCTTCGGGTTTCATTTTTAACTAGCATTTCTCCAACCGTGTTTACCGTAATCAGGGAAGTAATGTTTGAATCACGCAGTAAATGACCATGTTATTTGAAACAGCCGCCTTCTCTCGGACATATTTCTTACGGTTCGTTACAGTCTGACTGTTGCAGTTCTTTTCGCCTCTTGCCTTAATTGACAGGTCCAATGAACATTGTTTTAATCCCACTCTCCGTTGATTGGCTACTGACTGTGTAGGCGTCAAGTTATCACTTGATTCATGTCACGCCACTACACCTGGAACGTTAATCAATGTCGTCATTTTTGTCTGTTTTGATATATGCAACTGTTTTGGATTAAACTATTATAGATAAAACATGTTTTACGTTGTCGAATTTAATTATAAGCATTGACTGTATATTTTTTTCGGTTCATTGAGGTATGAATCGAAAAACCGATGGGCAAAATTTGCACATCGGTTTTTCGATTCATACCTCAATGAACCGAAAAAAATACACTGTCAATCCTTAAATATATCTAATTAGTGAAAGACACACTAGAAGAAACAAAGCTAGAATATTCAAGCAGTAAATATTCCAAAGATGAAGCAAGAAAAACTAAAGATTTAAACTTAAATAAGAAATCAGTGATACTCTTTTTTAGAAACATTTTTGATGAACGTGAGAGGCAAATCAATATCTTTTTCCACTTATTTAAAGAAAACCCAAAATGAAGAAAGTAAAAACTTAGAGGAAAAATAAAGCAATTAGAAGAGGAAATTAGGGGAAATTTTCAGAGAATAAGTGAATCAAAGCTGTCAGACCTGTCTAATTATAAAGTACTTTTTGAAAAATTAAAAGAAGAAGAATCAAGGGGAATAAAAATAAGAAATAGAATCCAGTGGTACGAGGAAGGAGAAAAACCATCAAAATAGTTTTGTCATCTTGAAAACAGGAATTATACCAGTAAACTAATTAAAAGTATTATAAATGAAAAAGGGGAGTTAATAACCGATGGACAATCCATCTTAACTGAACAAAGAAATTTTTATGAGAAACTATACTCCTCAAGTGGATAAATAACGAATGAAACCAAAAATTTATTACACAAACTTAACACACCAAAACTTAGTAAATCACAGTTTGATTATTTAGAAGATATGATTAACATGAAAGAAAAAACAAAGGCCGTAAAATCTATGAAAACTTACCAATTTTTCTGGAAAGATCTTGGAATATGGGTATACAGATATATTATAGAAACATTTAGAAATAACACTGTAAGTCTAACAATGAATAGAGGTGTCATTACTTGTATACCCAAAGGCACTAAAAATAAACAACTACTCAAAAACTGGTGACGAATTTCTCTCTTAAATTTACTATATAAAATTTTGAGTACATGTTTAGCAAACAGAATTTAAACAACACTTAATACTCTTATACATGAAAACCAAACTGGCTTTATCCCTGGAAAATGTATTAACGAAAACATACGACTACTATATGATATCTTATTTGAGACAAAATTACAAAATATGCCTGATTTACTATTACTTATAGACTTTGAAAAAGCTTTTGATACTGTTTCAAAACAATTTACCATGCTGACACTGGAAAAGTTTGGCTTTGGACCTAATATAAGAACATGGATATACATACTTATAAATAATGCTTCATCTTGCATCATACAAAATGGACACTTATCTACATTCTTCTGTATCGAAAGGGGATGTAGACAAGGAGACCCATTGTCTCCATATCTATTCCTGCTTGTTGCAGAAACGTTGGGAATAATGATTCATAATAATAATGCAATAAAAGGTATCAAACTGAATAATGTGGAACATAAACTTGGACAATATGCTGATGATACTGATGATATTTCTAGATGAGACTGACGAAAGTTTAAGTACAGCGGTTGACACCCTAATTGATTTTTATAAAATGTCAGGATTAAAAAAAAAAAATATTGATAAAACAAAAGCAATATGGATAGGCTCAATGACAGGCTGTGACATCAAATTATGTCTGGATCTGAAACTAGACTGGCACAGTGGGGACTTTGAAATATTGGGAATAAAGCTTAACTCGAACTTAAACAATCTGTGGGTAATCAATACAAAGAAGAGAATTGAAATTATTAACCAAATTTTAGGGAATTGGAGGAAAAGAAATTTAACATTGATAGGTAAAATTACTGTTGTCAAAACCTTGGCCCTATCAACCTTAGTACATATATTCTCTTCTCTTCCAAACCCTCCAAGTGAATTTATTGATGAACTTAACAAAATATTGTACAGATTCATATGGAATGGCAAAAGGGACAAAATAAAACGAACATCTTTAATTAGAAAATATGATGAAGGCGGACTGAGAATGATAGAGGTAAAGTCTTTTATAATTGCTCTAAAACTGTCAGTTCTCAAAAACATCTCCAAAATAAAAACTGTAATAACCCTAGCATCTTTCCACTCAAAAACATATTCCTACTTGGGGCCAATATTGAAAACTGTATGCACTTAGCTAACCCTCACTGGAGGGATGTTTTGTCTGCTTGGGGAACACTGTATAGAAGACACAAAACTACTTCCACAAACATTGAAGAAGTACTATCACAACCTCTTTGGTGTAACCATCAGTTTAAAAACCCGATTTCATTATAAGAAATTGGTTTTTGAAGGGAATTTACACTATTTAAGATCTCTGCAATGAAGATGATATAATGCCCTTTAGTGAACTTAAAGGGGAAGTGTACACGCAAAAATCACTTTCTTTCTTTTTCTAAACAAAACGCAATTTTAGAATTAGTTAGTATCTGTGTTTGAAAATATAAACTGATTTTTTTCACACTTAAAGTAGGAGGCTCAAAATAGTGTGAAAATGCTATGCTGTTATGAGGCCTTCGTTTTAAGAGCTAAACAGGCCAGAGTTATCCCCCTTAGATTATGACGTAATTGGTGCCAACTCAACTGGGTCCCTGTCTATTCTCAACGCAAAAGATATCAAGTACCAGTTTGCGGTAAAACAACATGGCCTACGACACACTCCGGCGCAGTGGGGACTCAGCATAACACTAGACTGGCTGGCATCTGAGACGCTAGAATCACACACCTGTACCTACACCACGTGAAGCGGCTCTAACAAAGCATGATGACGTCATAATGTTTATCAATTGGCACCAATGACGTCATATTGCAAGGGGCATAAGCCATGGTGTTTTTGTTCTGGAAATAGAACACTTGGTAAATGTGAAAAACATAAATCGTTTTAATGCAAAACATATGTTAATTAATTGTGATATTTTTATATTTTTGTCTATGACACTTCTAGGTTAACACTTTTAATGTGCAAAAAGTACACGAAAAATAGGTTCATTTCCTTGTGAACTTGCCCTTTAAAGGGGAAGTTTACACGCAAAAATCACTTTCTTTCTTATTTTAA